CGCCCCTCCTCTGCCCCCACCCCCTCCCCACCTGCCACACACACACACCCCAGCACATGCCCTGCCCAACCCAGGGACAACCTGGCTCAGGCGCAGACACCACCTGACATTCCACAGCCCCAGTGTCCTGTTCCCTGGGGTGAGGTGTTGCTAGGGGCAGAGATGGGAAAGGCAGCTTAGGAAGTGGCGAGCTGGTGTCCTGGGCGGGGTTGTCAACCTCTGTTTGGCTTGTTTGGGTGAGTTTCCCAGGTAATCCAGGGTTAGTTTTCCCCAGTGGAAACCCCCTCCCTTCTGGAATCCACTTTATGTGAAAGCCTCAGGCGGCTGGGAGGCCCTGGGGTGGGGGGTGGGTGGGCAGGCTCCCTGCGCATCCCCGGATGGCGGCACCAGGAGCACCTTCTGACCACACGGGGCACCTGGGCAGGCACCTATCTCAGCTCTGGGCCAGCGGTTGGCACGCTGGACAAATAAGTGATGTGTCCACCCCGTGGAGTTTCCCATGCCCTGGCAGAGGGCTGCGCTAGACCCCTGAGACTTTTTCATGGGTGACCCTAGTGCCTAGTGAGCCCCGAGAAAGGCCAGTGTGGGAGGGGGCTTCCCTGGGCCCTGAGGAGCGGGTGCAGGCTTCATCACCGGCTGGGACAGGCCAGGGGGCTCTGATTTTGAGCATTTGCCGATTACGAGGGTGTACACATTCCCACCGCCTGGAGCTGGGGAGATTCCTCCAGCACAACACGGCCGCGAGCAAACCTACCCCAGCGCTGCTGCTGCTGCTGCTGCTGCTGCTCCCGGGAATGCCACGGCCTGGGGCCCAGAGGGGCAGGAGGACAGGGGGCTCGGGGCCATCAGGGTGCTGGAGAGGCTTTAGCCCCTGGCCCTAAGGGCACCAGGAAACCCATTTCAGGAGACTCCAGGCCCTGCTCCACCGACGTGGAACCAAACAGAATGTGCGGCCGAGAAGCACAGGTGCACGTGTGGAGGCCAGGACTCAAAACTGGTGCTCCCTCGCTGAGGGAAATCCTCCAGCCCGGGGTCAGCCCAGCTCAGTCCTGGGGGAGTGGGCCCATGGGGGGCCCAGGACCACGGTCAGCTCAGCTCAGTCCTGGGGGAGTGGGCCCATGGGGGGCCCAGGACCACGGTCAGCTCAGCTCAGTCCTGGGGGAGTGGGCCCATGGGGGGCCAGGCCCGAGGTCAGCTCAGCTCAGTCCTGGGGAGAATGGTCCATGGGGGCCCATGCCCGAGGTCAGCTCAGCTCAGTCCTGGGGAGAATGGTCCCATGGGGGCCAGGCCCGAGGTCAGCCCAGCTCAGTCCTGGGGGAGTGGGCCCATGGGGGGCCTAGGCCCGAGGTCAGCTCAGCTCAGTCCTGGGGAGAGTGGGCCCATGGGGGGCCAGGCCCCAGGAGGCAGCTGCATGAGGACTGAGAGATGGCATCGCCCCAGCCCGTAGAGAGCACAGGGCCAGGGCAGGCAGGCTCCACTGCAATTCCAGTGCCTCCAAGTGTCCCCAAAGAGCTGCCCACCCCCCACAACTGGTTGATAGACTAAGAAACTGAGGCTGAGAGAGGTTGAAAACCCCGCCCAGGACACCAGCAGGGGGCCTGGGCAGCTGCTTCAGCAAGTATTGGGCACCTCCTGCGTGTACTTCCTAGCAGGCCAGGGGCGAGTGCTCACTGCCCTCTGGGGCTGGCAGGGCCCATGCTGGGGTAGGGGTTAGGGTAGGGGTGGGGGCACACTGCTACCACTGGGAGAGCTGGTGGGACCCAGGGCCGTGTAGACCAGCCCCTCCTCCTGACCCTGAGCTCAGGAATGTCTGGGCCCCGGCGGGGAGGGCCAGTGACAGGACATGTCCACCAGTCACGAGCTTTGTTTATGTGCCCCTCCCACCAGTGATCACTTCCTGCTGAGGGGCCACCAACTATGCCTCTGGCGGGTCTGTCCTCCCTTTCTGTGGGCATCGATTTCTGTGTTCCCAACAGAGCCTGGAATGAATACCTGGCATTTGGTTGTTTGGGCAAAAACAGCATCAGTGTTGTCTGTGGGGCGTCCAGGCCGCTGAGAGGCCTGTTCCCAGTGGGAGCCTGGACCACAGGCCTGGCACCTGACTGCTCGGTCCCGGAGCAGGAGGAGGCAGGACCTGCCCTGCATGGGGTGGAGGGTCGTGTGGTCTGGGTGTGGCAAGAGGAAGTGGATTGGGGTCTCGCTTGAGAGTCTGCAGGGGGAGTCACCCTCCAAGTGGAGGGAAGGGGGCGTTGGGCTGGGGTGGGGCTTGCTGCACGGGAAGCTGACAGGCCTGGGTTGTGCCTGGCTCTTGGTGAGACCCAGGAAGGTGACTTGATGACTCTCCTCAGTTTTCTCATCTGTACAATGGGAGGCTGTGGGCTCAGGACTCCCCGATCCACTGCCTGCAGGCATCATCCAGGCTCTGACAGCCCCGCCCACCTCGGAGGTGACAGCTGGGTGCCCTGAGGCCAGAGCCCTGGCCTGGAGCTCTGTGCCCACTGAAGGGGCAGAGACAGGACTAGAACCCAGGACTGCAACTTCTGGTGCCCAGGGTCCTGAGCCGTCCCCTCAGTCCAAGGGTTTATACGCCCGAGAATGTCCATTCTAGGCCCTGCTCATGTGACCTCCAGCCACAGGCAGAGTTTGCACTGGGGCCCCAGCCAGTCCGCCCACCCCATTCACCCTCTCTACTCCACCCGGCAGGAAAGGAGTCAGAACAGGGTGACGACACAAGTCCCAGTGCACAAGACTGAGGGAGGGGCCCAGCCCCTGAGATGCCCACCAGCCAGACACCCACACACCTACCTGCTCTGGGCACAGCCACATCAGCCCTTGTTGGGGGGCAGAAAGTTCAGGGCCTGTTTCCTTACCAGGCCGTGCAGGCTCGGTTAAGGGGTGACACCCTGAGCCTCAGTTTACCCTCTGTGCAAAGGCTGCCCCTTGTCATTGCCCATGTGGGTCTGTGGGAGGAAGACTCCGACCAAGCCGGGCTTTAGAAGCAGCCCGCTGCTGACTCATGGCACCCACACTTCCCCTGGGACACCCCATTTTCTGCCACCTTTCCAATGAATAAATGTGCTGGAAGGTTAACTGGCAAAAAAAAAAAGCACAGCTGGACACAGGTTCAAGGGCACAAGTGGGCATGAGACCAGGGGGACCTTGGGAAGCCAGGGCTGGACAAGCATGGCCCTGGCCACCTCAGCAAGCCGGCAGCCAATGGCAGCCTCGGCTGAAGGACAGCAGCCACGGGGGCCACGCTGGTCTGGGCAGCAACAGA